GGGGGGGGGGGGAAGGGTGAACAACGTCTTGAATTTATAAAGCTTCTTTGAACTGCTAAGTATTTTTCATGCTTGTGGTTAATGTCCCTGTTAAATCTATGATCTTGTCACTAAACACAGATGATATAGCTTTACTCCCAATCTATCACCTCCTTTGATATTTAAACACTAGATAAATGTGCACTGAGTATGTGGGTCTTCTAAACCCAAGACTCTCCATGCTATCCATCTTACTTAGAAGGGAGCATTATTTTATGTAGTCTTTCCATGCTAGTAACCAACTCCTTCACCTTGTCATCCCAGCAAATACAATATTTTAAATTCAAAGGGATCATTAACATGGCTTTTTTGGTGATTGTACAGATAATGGCAAAGATGTTGATGGTGAAATTACAGACATCTCTGAGAAGAGTTTCGAAACCACAATTACATTTTTTGAAGAAGCAGAATGTGATAATAATCTCAGTGAAAATCTTTGTTCAGCTTCAGGTAAAACTTAGAAACTTAAAGCAGTTTATGGCTGGAATTCTCCATTTCCTTAGACTCCTGAAGGACACAGTGTACCACATAGGAAGGTACTGAGGAACAGTACAAATCTCTGACTTTATTTAGCTGTCTTCTGTTTTAATGTTTAAAGGATCACATGATTGGCAATGCACATGTTAGGGATTGCCCTTCATTTACCACATTTCTAGCGAAAAGTTGTTCTGTCAGCACATTATCAAGAAGGTCTCCAAACACCAGACTGTTGTTCATGCATCTCTTCTCTGATATAACTAGTTCACACATGACCTGGTATTAGCTAGTTTAGAGAGCTGAATATGGCTGCAAAGGATCTGTGCTGTGGCTGTCATGTCTTATATGGCAAATTTTGCTCCAGCAGTGTTTTCTAGTTCCTTTTCCATAAGTGCAAACTTTCTGACAAAACCACAATTTAAGAGAGTATTAACTTCAAAAGTCTGTAGAGCAGAAGGCTAAAAGGAATACTGTGCATTTATTTGGGGGAACTGTGCATTTCTTTGGAGGAAAATAAGCCCTTTTCTTTCTGAGTTGAAAAAACACCAGTTAAGATGACAATTGTCAGCCAAGATCTTGAAATAAGTTAAGCTTAGGAAGCACAGCCAAATGGTAACAAGAGTATGCCATCATACTACACAGGATTCCTGTCTGGTGTGTGTGTCCTGTTAAAAGGCTTGTCTGCCACAGTTGCTCAGTGTAGACTGCAAGGACTCTCCCTCTATCATTTTAGATAGCGACTGTATGGGGCACAATGTATTTTATGCATTTCTGTTGCAACACTCTTCACAAAGGCATGGTTCTCTCCTAGAAAGGACCTATCAGTCTCCACCTGTTTATGAACCAAAGGAGGATTGGAGATACCAGATTGGACTTGCACAGCCTGCTATCAATGGGAAAAACACATTGATATGTGCCCCCACAGGTAAGAAAACACAATATCTTAGAAAAATTCCCTTGATGGAGAGGTCTGTGAAGGATAGGGAAAGGTAAAGGTTGAGTCAAACTTTTCCAGCTGCTTATTTAAAAGCAGTCTACCCTGCAGGAGTAGATCCAGATCTAATCTGAAATTAATGACCAAGAGCAGCGCAGAGACTGAGCAAGACTGACATGTCTCTTCAGTGCCTGTATTCAGATTTCCATGTTGTGACCTCTGCTTTCTCACTCCCCAGTGTGGATTTTTGAGTTAAAAACACTCACTGATGTTTGCAGATCTTTAAGAAATTTGGCTTGCAAGTTAAAGGAAAAATAGGATGAGTTGCCATGAGACACCCTCTGTCTTCTGTACTGCTATGCCTACAAGATCAAAACAGCGTGGGGAACTTTGGCAGTAGCTCAGGACTGAATTAAGAATATTGAAGTTCAGCAGCAAAAGAGAGATCAATCGGCTTTCTCTCCACCTGTGTTTTCCATTATGCTTGCCTGATTCTCCCTGGGTCCTGGAGAGGCAGGTGGTGTAGCAGAGGCAGGGACACAGCAGAGTTCTGGGTGGCCTGCACAGTGAACCTGAGTGCTGAAGGAAAAGAAATGTGAGAGAAGCAAGGCTGCATGGGGAAGGACATAACATTGCTCAGTGCACTGCCTAGCCTCCTGCCCAATGCTCCTGGATAAATCCCTAACTTCTGGGAAGAAGCAAGTGGCCCTTGTATCCTTCTCATTAGAAGTTAGAGGTTGCACTGTTCTCTAACTTCTGATTTAGCACTAGTGTGTTGTAAAACAGCCTGTGATCTGGTGTGTTGCAGTGTTGACTGCAGTTTCAAGTCACTGGACTGCCTGTCCTCTATTGTCAGTAGTTTCATAAGAAGGAATAGCACCGCTCTTTGCAAGAACAGAGTTTATTTTGTTGCTGTCTTTTGAGGTACAGTATGTCACAGAGATTCTCCTGTCAGTTTGCTACAGAACTTTTTTCTGGGGATTTTATTGCATTTAACCAATAGCTTTCTTCGATTGCATCTGAAAGAATGGTATAGAAAATAAAAAGAAATGCTAAAGAGAATGTGGGTGGCATTTGAAAGTAGGTTTGGGTGAGAATTCTGTTTTCTGCATTAAAGAAGGTAAGTTATTCAAGAAACTGCTCTTTTCTTCCAGAGAAAGAACCAGAACTAACTTTCCTTTCAAAAGATGAATCAAATTAGAATCCCAAGCTGGAAGAGCTTGCTTGCATCCTGGATGAAGCATACTGCTATAACCCACAGATTCACACTCCTCTTTGCTAAGACAAGAACCTTAGTAGCTGTAAGACATTTCTTTTTAAAGTTTCTAAAATGGGAAGTGAGAAAATATAATACCTCATCTATTACCCTTCCCATTTTGATCTGGAAACAGAAAAATGTATATGCATTTGATCTTTCTAAGAAAAGATTTATCTTTCTGTATCTTCCTAAGCACTGATGCTCTGAGACAGGATGTGTTGGGTTTTTTTTTCTTTTCCACAAACTACAGTACAGGGATGGTGTCCTTCATCACTTCCTGCTACTTGCTCTAGTTGATCATTAAGTTGTCAGATTTTTACTTTAGGTGTGAAGTGAGTTTTAACAAGATGTGTTACAAGGGTTTTGGCTTTAATGTGGCAGTGTTACAAACCAGAAGCTCTGCTCTATTACTGACTGCACATATGCAGGTATTTATAGGTTTCCCAAAGGATTCGTATGGGCCCAAAGGAGTGGTTTGTGTTCTTGATCAAGAAAAAGGAAAGACTTTGTGCAGCAGATGTCCTCTGGACCCTTCTGATGCACTGGTCTATTACATATGTGCCTAGGATCAAGGATCTAGGTGGAATAATCTAAAAAGGTCTCCCTTCCAATACCTTGTTCCCAGAAAAAGTTCATATTTGAAGTAAGAGTTCTGCTAATCATTAGCTTCTCTCAAATTCTCTCAAATGTTTACTGCATAGTCTCTTGACTACTGATTTATCATTTGAGAGTCCCAACCCCCATTTTACCCTTGGTATAGACATGCTGGATGAATTGCAAACCAGAAAAAAACTAAAGGTAGGCTAAAGTCCAAACTAACAACACCAAGCATCTGCTGGCAACTTGCCCTTATAGAAGTAAAAGCCTACTGTAGCCTGGCTGAATTTTTTTCTTATGTAAAAGCAGTTTGAAGGTGCTGCTTTCAGTGTGCAGGGGGAAAGTGCAGTTTGTAAACGGCAACTCATTTCCTTTGGATTCCAGAGGTGTAGTGTTCACTGATCTGTTTGTTTATAAGAGAAAAAGGCATGCCTTTTAGCAGTGAAAGGCTGCTTGTTCTCTAGACAGTCTGTAAGTTGAAAGGGTGGGAAAAGCAGAAATCAGCTGTGGCATGGTTTGATTTGGAGTCGTGTCTGTGACACTTGCTTTCTCACTATTAATAGATGTTCCTTCCTGATGCACAAGTTCCACCTTCTTTTCTGCTTCTGGTTCTCAGTATTAATTGTCTAGGCAAGCATGGGCAGGATCTACCTATCTATCCCAAAGTAACATTTCATCTGGACAGTGATCTAACACCCTGATTTGCTTTCCAGCCTTTGAAGAAGTGGATAGACAGAAACCCTCTCCTTAGCCATAAAGTCAGATGGGTTGATGGGTTGTGGAAGAAGAGATCAAAAAACAGGTACACAAGTTTGCACTGAGGAATCCCAGTTGCTAGACCTATGGTGGCTATGCTGCTGAAGTTGTTCTACTCTCCTGTGTTTGTCTTCCGTGCTCTTAAACAGACTAAGGTCATGCAAGGTTGCGCTGCACTTTCTTCAGTATCTGGAAGGACTTTAACCAATCCTAAGGAGATGCCTGCTTTTTCTATCTAGCATCCTTGGTTAAAGCAGCAGTTATACTGCCAGTGACCCTTTGCTGCAGTATTCTTTTGCTAGTTCAAAATAATTTTAGAAGCTGTTCACTATCGTGACTTCTTGTGGTTAATTCTAGTGCTATTTTCCCTGTTCCTTTTACAGATCCCTCTTCTTTTTTGTTTGTTGACACATACAGTTTAAGGTAGAATGGAACATACAGACAAAATTAGTTATGCATGGCTTAAGAGTTACTAACTAAGCTGTATAGGTCTCTAATAAAGATCAGCTAGGTGTTGTGTTTGAAATGGCATTTCCCAGGATAACAATTCCTGTGGCACATCAACAGGAATTCCTGCTCAGTGAGTACAGTATGCAGTCAGATGGATATGTAAACTTAAAGTACTTTTCCAGATTAAGAGGACATGCTCATTTCTAATTACTTAAGTAAGAGCAAATGCAGGTATGTTGCTCAAGGAACTCTTCAGTGTTTTTTTCCTGACACAGTTTCTTGCTACTGTAGGTATGACCCTGCCAGTGCAGAAGGGTGTACTGGACGCATTCAAAACCAACAGACAGCAGACTGCTAATTGCTACATCTGTTGCTGATGAAGGCATTGATATTTCTGAGTGCAACCTTGTTGTGCTCTATGAATACTTCGGTAATGTCACCAAAATGATCCAAGTAAGAGGTATGAAATTTCAGAGTTATTACTTTAAAAACCCGTTTTGGCCAGAAGTGGACATAAAGTGCTACTTAATGGCACTTTGGAAATATTGTAGTAATATATGCATATCTTGCTATTGTTCCTCTGTGCCCCTGAGTGAAGTCAGATGAATGATGGGACTGGGCATGACAAATTTCTTCACAGAACTGAGTCCTTGATGTTGTATGACTTCTCTTTTTCCATGAAAATTAGCCATGCTGCTCAAGGTTATTGAACTGTTGAGGACTGATCCCTCAGGTGGGTAATTATACATATAAGTAGAAGTATAGCTAGAAGAGATGTAGTCAGAAATAGTGCAAATCGTTCTGACTGACAATTTACAAAGGCCTGCTGCAAGGGAGTTTCATGCATTGCTTTGCCTTCTGAAGACCTTTACTTGCCCAGCAGCTTATTAGCAACCAAACTACACGCAGGTACCCGAGGCCTTTGCAAGTGCAGACCTCTAACACTGAAGGGAAAAAAAAAAAAAAAAAAAAAAGAAAGATGAAACCCTGTTTCTGTCTTGACTTGTCTAAAGAAATCTGACTTCGGTCTTGAATCTTGGCGATTTTACGATACGGACAGTAGAGGGGAATGAAGAGCCACACTAAATACCGGTTTCTGTTGAACATTCCCAAATGTCATAAAACTCCTTACGTCTTTCAAGGGTGGATCTGCAAAATTTTATCCTATCACCCAAGTAGTTAACTTCATAATCTGACAGGAAGCGATCTCCACTGTACTTATTCCTCTGCTATCAGGGTTTGTGTCCTGTGATTTTCTTAGTTTTGTCTTGCAATGAAATAATTGGCCCAGAATTCATGTTTATGGGTGAAAGGATAATGTTTATTCTTAACAAGCCATTAAAGATGAAAAGAAAATAGGTTGCATCAGTTTTAAACATCAAATCATGATTTTTTGGGAATGGGAACTCAAAATCATATGTGAACACTTCCTTACTGAAACTTTTCTAAACTGGCATGACATCCCTGTAGTTCTTAGTTTGCCTATGTGACAGCAGCAAAAAGCAGGCAGGCAGTAGGCATAGAGAAGGTGAAAGAGACAGCACTTGCTCTTTTTTCTCTTTTCTTGCCAGCACTCTATTTCCAGTTCCTCAGGCTTTTTTTGTGATAAGACTTTTTTTTTTTTTTTTTTTTTTTTTTTTTTTTAATAGACACCAATTAGCAGGGCAGAAAACTAGTAAGTAAGGCTAAGATGAACTTTTCTCCTCTAGCTTTTTTTTTTTGCACAAGACAGCAAGATGCTGTACAATAACTGAAGTGTCAAGCATGCCTGAACTTCAGTGAGGCAGGCCACAGAAGTAGCCAATACAGCAATGGCTGGGGGCTATTCATGAGGATATCTGGAAGGGGGCACCTCGTTCTGGTTTGTGATTGCAGAAGAAAGAACTGAGAAAATCCTCTTTAGAAGCAGCATTATCTGAATCTGAACATGCAAAACAAAAGCAGCTACACAGAAGGTCCTTAATGCTCTTTTATGCCATAGCTGCCGCTTTTGCACATCTTGTTAAGAGTGACTAAAGAGGATAAATGTATTGCTATATAGGTCATGGAAGGGCAAGAGGTAGCAAGTTCATCCTTGTGACAAGAAAACAGAAGTGGTTGAGAATGAGAAACACAACCATTACTAGGAAGAAATTATGACTGAAACTATTGAAAAGCTACAGAATTGGGATGAAACAACATTTGCAAGAAAGGTTTGTACTTCTGCAGAATTTTCATGCTCAAATCTACAGGCATAATCTACATCACCCTCATCTAGTGTCACTATCTAGGACCAAGTGATAACCTGAGAAAAGTGTTCACTGTTACTTGTTTTCAGACCAAGGCTAGATCAGCAGAGAAGGGACAGTGTGTCCTGCTAGCTTGGAGAATGTCATCTCTACTGTAAATGTAAAAAACTTAGAAGTTGAGGTAGAATTTATATAAACTACTCAGCTTAGAAATAAAATATAAACTGTTCTGTCCACTGAAAGAAAAATATTGCTGTGTCTGCTTAGGATAGTGGACAGGGAGATGTGAAACTATGCAGATGGTTGTAATATGTACATCCATATAAAGTGCTTCTGAACATGAGTCTTAGTGGCAGACCAATGCAAGTGCTTTTCTAAAATTGTTTGTCACTATTCCAAGTCTTTGTGAATTTCAAGCCATTTTTTTTCTGGGACACTTAAGAAAACATTGCCTGGGACATTAACAGGATGACATTTGGGGTTGTACATGCTCTTCTGCTGGTGACTTCTTTTGTACTGCCTACTTGCTTCGAGCAATGGCATCTGGCAGATGAACAAGCCTAGTAGAACAAGCCTAGTAGAACACCTCAGCACATATTCAGTGCTAACCCTGCTGTGTGCTGCACACATACCAGATCAAAAAATATCGAGAGTAGAAAGAAGTGTCAAGAACTATGGTGCTGAGGTGACATGAAGGAGGTGTCTCAGGCTAAGCCAATGATGGACTTTTGGTCAGGCAAGGTCCTGCCTGGTGCAGCAGGCATGTCTCCTCTGTGACCACCCCACCTTCCCAGGTGCTCTCACATAATAGGTATGAAGTTCTGCAACTGGAATGAAAAAATGATGATGATGGTTCACCTAGCTTGGAAGTGTTGCCAAGGCTAAGTTGGCCTATGCTCTGCATCAAAACGACTTCCATAAAGAAAAAAAGAAGGGTCATTGTCATAGGACACCTTCTCCTGAGAGGAATAGAAGCCCAGTATGCTGACTGGACCCACTTCTTAGTCTGCTGCCTCTGTGGGGCACAGGTTAAAGATGTGAAAACTTCCTACCCTGGTACAGCCCTCAGATTATTATCCATTATTGATTTTTTCATGTGAAGTTGCAACAGGAAGTCTGAGGGCAATCAAGAGATACTTCAGGGCCTTGGGACAACTGGTTAAGGGATCAGGAGCACAAATAGTGTTCTCCTCTATCCTTACAGTTGCAGAGAATGATGAGGGAAGAAAGAGGAAGACCCAGCGGATCAGTACCTGGCTCCATGACTGGTGTCACGAGCAAACTTTGGGGTTTTTGATCATAGGTCAGTCTACATGACACCAGGCCTGCTGATGACAGATGGGGTACACCTGTCTCAAAGGGGGAAAAGGATCTTTGTGCAGGAGTTAGCAGGGCTCATTGAAAGAGCCAATTAGATTTTAAGGGGTAAGGGGATAGAACTAGACTTGGTAGAGATAAGCCTGGAGGCAGCATGCCAATGCCTGAGGGATGGTGTGCTAGCAAGGTCCTTCAGTCTGCCATCAGAGTGGAGGCAAGGGATGGAGATCCACACAGCAGTGAAGACACAAGGGTTCTGGATGTTTAGAAACCACGGGAGTGCCTAAGAACAGTCACATAGGAATTGGGCTTCTCCCCCCCAAAAAGGTGGTAGGATCAATAGCCCAGCTGAGGTGTATCTACACCAATGCACACAGTATGGGCAACAAACGGGATGAGCTGAAAGCCATTGTGCAGTTGGAAAACTATAATAAAATTGCAATCATGGAAACCTGGTGGAATGACTCACACAACTAGAGTTCTGCAGTGGATGACTATAAGCTCTTCAGACGGGATAGGCAAGGAAGGACAGGTGGTGGGTAGCCCTGTATGTTCAAGAGTGCTTTGACTGTCTAGAGCTTGATGGTGGGTTGACTGTTTGTGGTTAAGAATCAGGGGGAAGGCCAACAAAGCTGATTTCATGATAGGAATCTGTTACAGACCACCCAAACAGGATGAAGAGGCAGATGAAATACAAGCATCTGGGAGAAATCTCAAAATTGCTAGCTCTTGTTCTTGTGGGGGACTTCAAATTAACCAGTGTCCTCTGGAAATTCAACACAGCAGAAACAGCCTAGGAGGTTCCTGGAGTATGTGGAAGATAACTTCCTGACACAGCTAGTGAGTGAGCCTACTAGAGAAGGTGCCCAACTGGACCTGTTGTTTGTGAACAAAGAAGGACTTGTGGGTGAAGTGATGGTTGGAGGCTGTCTTGGGCACAACAATCAAGAAATTATAGGTTTTGATTCTTGGAGAAGGAAGGGGGTCCACAGAACTGCTACTCTGGACTTTCAGAGGAAAGACTTTGGCCTGTTTAGGAGCCTGGTTGACAGAGTCCCTTGGGAGGCAGTCCTGAAGAGCAAAGGAGTCAAGGAAGGCTGGACATTCTTCAAGAAGGAAATCTTAGAGGTGTAGTAGCAGGTTGTCCCCATGTGCCAAAAGACAAGCCGGTGGGGAAGATGACTTCTTGGCTGAACAGGGAGCTTTGGCTGGAACTCGGTGAAAAAAAATTAAAAGTTTATCATCTTATTGGAAGAACGGTCAGGGAATTTAGGAGGACAAGGGTGTCATGACGTTATGGAGGGAAAGAATTAGAAGGGCCAAAGCCCAACTAGAACTTAATCTGGCTACTGCCATAAAAGACAATGAAAAGTCTTTCAATAAATACATTAGCAACAAAAGGAGGGCTAAGGAGAATCTCCATCCTTTATTGGATGCAGAGGGAAACATAGTGATAAAGGTTGAGGAAAAGGCATGATACTCAATGCCTTCTTTGCCTCAGTCTTTAATTGTAAGACCAATTGTTCTTAGGGTACACAGCACCCTGAGCTGGAAGACAAGGATGGTGAGCAGAATGACGCACCCATAATTGAAGGGAAAATGGTTAGTGACCTGCTACACCACTTACACATAAACAGGTCTCTGGAGCCAGATGGAATCCACCCAAGGGTAGAGACAGCTGGTGGAAGTGCTCACCAAGCCACTTTCAATCATTTATCAGCAGTTCTGGCTGCAGGACTTTATCAGCAGTTGACTAGAGGTTAGAAAATGTGACTCCCATCTACAAGAAGGGCCAGGAGGATCTGAGAACTACAGGTCTGTCAGTCTGACCTCGGTCCTGTGGAAGGTTATGGAGAAAAGCATCTTGAGTGCCATCCCATGGCACATTCAGGACATGCCCAGTCAGCATGGGTTTATGAAAGGCAGGTCCTGCTTGACTAACCCTGATGTCCTCCTGTGGACAAGGTGAACCACTTAGTGGATGAGGGAAAGGCTGTGGATGTTTATCTGGATTTTAGTAAAGCCTTTCACACTGTTTCCCACAGCATTCTCGTGGAGAAACTGGATACCCATGGCTGGACAGGCATGCTGTTCGCTGAGTGAAAATCTGGCTGGATGGCTGGGCCCAGAGAGTGGTGGTGAATGGAGTTAAATTCAGTTGGTGGCCAGTCACAAGTGGTGTCTCACAGGGCTCAGTAATGGGTCCAGTTCTGTTTAGTACCTATACCAGTTCTGTTTAGTATCTTTATCAGTGAACTGGACAAGGGGATCAAGTGCACCCTCAGTAAATTTGTAGACAATACCAAGTTGGGCAGGAATGTTGATCTGCTTGAGGATAGAAAGACTCTACAGAGGGATCTGGAGAGGCTGGATTGATGGGGTGATGCCAATTGTATGAGATTCAGCAAGGCTATGTGCCAGGTCCTGCACTTGGGTCACAACAACCACAACACTACAGGCTTGGGGAGGAGTGGCTGGAAAGCTGCTTGGTGGAAAAGCACCTGGAAATGCTGGTTGTCAGCCTGCTGAATATGAGCCATAGTGTGCCCAGGGGGCCAAAGAAGGCCAATGGCATCCTGGCTTGTGTCAGCAATAGCGTGGCCAGCAGGGACAGGGAAGGGATCTTACCCCTGTACTTGGCACTGGTGAGGCCACACCTTGATTACTGGGTTCAGTTTTGGGCCCCTCACTACAAAAAGGACATTGAGGTGCTGGAGTGTGTCCAAAGAAAAGCAATGAATCCTGTGAAAGATCTAAAGAACATGTCCTATGAGGAGTAGCTGAGGGAATTGGGGTTGTTTAGTCTGGAGAAAAGAAGGGTGAGGGGAAACCTCATCACCCTCTACAACTACCTGAAAGGCGGTTGTGGTGAGGTGGGTGTCAATCTCTTCTCCCAAGTAACAAGTGATAAGATGAGAGGAAATGGCCTCAAGTTGCACCACGGTATCAGGAAAAAATTCTTCACTGGAAGCACTAGAACAGGCTGCCCAGGGAAGTAGCTGAGTCACCATCCCTAGAGGTGTTTAAAAGATGTGTAGACATGGCACTTAAGGACATGGTTTAGTGGGACTTGGCAGTGTTAGGTTTGTGGTTGCACTCGATGATTTTGTCTTTTCCAACCTGCATGATTCTATGATTCTATCTTCCTAGATCTTTGTAATAAATTTCTCAGAGAATACTGGAATAAGCCAGTGGCAGCCAATACAAATAAAAAGGCCATGTACGCAGCTCTGCCAAATCCCCGATGATCCCTATCGCAGATCATCCCATGTTTTCAGGCAAGCTTTCAGACACTGAGCTGTGCAACAAAGGATATCCAAGGCCCTCTTGCTTTTGTGAAATATCTTCTCCTGCCTCTGAGGCTTGGTTTGGCTGCTCCTGCTTCTTCTCAGAGGATTCTGTTTCTGCATTAGCTGCAGGTTGCCAGCTCCAGACTGTGGCTGTTGCCTCTTTCTCTGACTACAATTTCTGTGGTCTCTGGAGTCTTCTTTCCAAGCTGTGAGACTCCCAGAGCAGCAGTGCTACTTCTGCTGTAGGGAGTCTCATATGACTTAAGTCTTCTCAAGGACTTACTAGCATTATGACCAAAGGGGCCATAGGGAGGTAGGGGGGGAGGGAGAAATACATGGCATAAACGCTGTCCCTCAGGTAGTTCTATTCTAGCCTTACATTCTTAACCTGACAAATGTACCATGTTCTTCCTTTGGTGTGAGTTGCTAGAACAAGGCATGTTTTGTTTGCTTTTAAGTAATAGCTTCCTAGATGTTATATATCCTGAGTCATGTTTAGACAGACATTGGAGCTTCTCTTAATTTCATAATGATCTTGATTTTTATTTATTTATTAAAGATACATGAACTGCAAATGAAGGAAAAGGTATTACGAGGTTTCAGGAAGAAGGAAGGAAGACGTACAGTAATGGAAGGGAAAAAAATCTTCTGTGTGGAAAAAGCAAAGCATATGCCTGTAGTACAGATGACAGAGCTATAAAGGTATGTCTCTCGATGCAAACCTATATCCATGAACACCAGGGAAGTCAGTATTATTGAACTAACAAACAGCAATTTTTATCAATGTGGAAAGTAGGCTATTTTGTGCAACCTGGAGCAGAAAAAAATTCTGAGTAAATTGGTTAACTACAAGACCAATTATAACTACTTCTGTAGCATGCTGTGATGGTACTTGATGATGTCCAAGGTGTGCAAATATGTGATATGACAGGAATCACTTCAATCTTCCTGAATCTCCTTCTGTTAGAAATTAATAAATATTGTGGAAAACTATGTGACCTTCAATGACATAACCTACTGGATGACTGCTGGATATTTACTTTCATGATTAGCAAAAGATTGGAAGTCTTCCTGCAGTTGAGAGATTTGTCCCACCATTTCTGTTGACTGAAAATTGTCCATACAAACTACTGAGATCAGCTCGCTGTCTGGGTCACTGGCTTATGGGCCAGTTTTCAGTTTTGAAAGGCAAGACAAACCATGGTTTTCAAGAGGAGACCTTTAATTCTTAAATATTGATTTGTTTTGCATTCTTTAGGTAGTTCACATTGCTTCTATGTATCTCATGGGGACTTGAATTTCTCTGTAGACCCAAGAAGCCAGTGTTCTACACATGAAAGGTGATGGTCATGAAAGACAGCCTTTTCTGGGCACTTTGAACCATTCTAGTTCTGAAATTTGTTTCGTTTGAAGCTTCTTCTATTTGTGCTACTCTGAAAAGCATGGTTGTGATGTGATAAGGGGCTTCAGGCCACAGCTGGGCATTACAGAGTGCTTGCCTTCAGGCACTTCCCTTTTCAATCAAGAAAAAGCATTTTTTTTACCAGCTGTTTTTGGAACATAGATGGAGTTCACTACTCCTCTGTACAGGGAAGATCCACAGGGAGGCGTTGGGAATAGCTCAGCCTTGTGAAAACCTAGTTGCATTTCTCTGACAAATAACAAGGGATCTCTAACATGCCTCTCTGTTACTCCATTTTGTGCTACTGGCTTTTTTCTTCAGAAAGAGTTTTCGATTAATACTCTACAAATAACCCCTCACGATATTTTAAGTAGTCCCTTCAAACTGAGTTCTGTCACAATTCAGCCTATAGATGTATATTTAATGGAAGCTGCACTTCCAGGAAGAACTAGCATTTTCATACCCCAGCTCAAATTGTACTTAGCTCTCAAATTAAGTTGTTAATTTTTGTAAATCTTTGATTATATGTTATAAACAACAACTGTAACTCCTTTACCTTGTTAGGGTTACTTTTTCTACCACTCCAAAGTAACTGTATGACCCCTCATAGAAAGGTGGAGTCATAGAGTTAAAATGAGTGGGAAGCAGGAGTCTCTCAAACTGACTGCTGTCCAGATGACTGTTAAGTTTTATGCACATCTCAAATACTGCAAGCATGATTTTTAGAGAAGATAAGCAAGTTCAAATATATATAAGCTGGTGTCTGGTGATATATAGTAATTTTGGTTTTATAAACCCTGGTATCTAATGAATAGGGAAAAAAAAGTGTTGAGACAAGGGGGCTGAAAGGTGAGCCTCCTGAACGACAGGAAGTACCCTACCAGGGAAATGATATTTGTGCGGGGAAGGGGAATGTCAGGAATCTTCTTTCTACTATTAAGCACTTCTGGCTTGTGTTGTTCCAGGAATCTCATCACACTGTCCTAAGAGATGCGTTCAAGGAGCATTACATAAAAAAGCCTCACCAGAAACCAGTCCAGTTTGATCATTTTGAGGAAAAAAAGCAAGAGGCATTGCCAAAATACTAATTGCCAACTTGACAGGGAAATCATAGTGAAGTACAAGACATTTGATAATCTACCAGTGATCAAAATCAAAAGCTTTGTAGTAGAGAACATTGAGTTTGGGACACAAATGGAACTTCAGAAACCGAAAAATATTTTTTCTTTGAAGAATTTTGATGGTGAAGAAACATCCAGCTGAACCCAACATTTTAATGCACGTATCACCCTACTCCAGTAAGCTGAAATAGTGGATGATCTATTTCTGTGTATAAAAAAAAAAAAAAATCATGTTCTTTATGCTGTCTCATATGCTAGGCCTGTCATCAGTGTCTGGCTAGATAAAAAAAGGCTAGTATGGCCACTAAAAGAAATTTGCTATCTAATGAAATATTTCACCAGAAGTTCTCATATAAGCATGGACAAACATGTGCCAAAGCATCTAGATCTTAATCCTTGCTGCTATGAAGAAGTTGGTCTGAAAAAACCAAAATCAAATTGAATGAATAACTAAACATCTCATCTTAGGTGACAGGGCACAACTTTTCTGCATGAATCAATCTTTGTTACTGGTAACTTCTAGTTAGACTGTACCTCCATGAAGGCAACACAGCTTATGCATAGTGACACTTCAGGCACTACTTTAGCTATCTTTAAAACATCTTAAAATTATTTTAATACTTGAGGCATTTTGATATAGAGAAAATTAAGAGAAAATATCCAGCAACTTTTCTGTAAGGAAGATACTGCATCTTTTAAGTCCATCTTTAATAGTCAAAGTTTCTACAACAGTCTGAGAAAAGCAATAGGGCTTCACTGACCCCTTTTGGAGGAGGCTTCTGGATTAAAATGGTAGCACTGTTTTCTTCTATCACTACACATTTGTCAAGTTGCTGTTACTGAAGTTGCAGAATGGGTCCCTTTCTATGTGTGGCTTAACAGAACAAGTTTCAAGGGAGACAGGCCAGTGCCCTGTAAGACAGGTGAAGGCTTAATTTACATGGTGATCAGCATTTACCCTCATGTCTTGCCTCATGAATTGCCATCTGAAATCTCTTAAGACACTATTATTAGTTCTACAGATTTTTTGTCAGAGCTGGTCTAAAATTGGAACAAAGCCTAGACATTAGTGTGTTTAAATCTCTCCTCCCCACCAAAATCCCAGAGTTCTTTTGGAAAAACAGAAATTGCTACAGATACAATTATGAAACATTGTTAAACTTGCACACTTTAAAGAACTTGCTGATTCTGCTTATCTTCAAGGAGCTTAATCTTCAATATTTCTGGAACCAAGATCAAATATATTTTCAGTTCATTTCATGTGTTTGATAGTGGAATAAAGTATGTACATAGATGAATTATGGGTCTGAAATACCTGAACTCTGAAGAAAACAAACCACCTTGAACAGGAACTTAACTAAGGGTCCAAAAATTATTAAACTACCTAAACCCTAGTCAGCGAGACTTGTGGTGTTCTTTTAACCAGTGTTATGTTGCATTAAAAGCAAAACCGTATTTTAAGCCCTGCTTCATGTTCCACTCCAGTCCATGCCTTTTACTGTGAAGGCTGTATGCACTGTACAGGAAGCCTAACTCTCAGTCCTACAGTAACTTTCTCTGTGCTTAACTTTTATCTAGTAAATTTGCTGTTCTTATAGCTGCTTCCAAAAAAGAAACACAGAACAATGGATAAATATGTTTTATGGTTGGATAATGCCTCCCCCTCAAAAATAGTAGGAACAAAGCTTTTGAAAAAGGCTGGTTTAGTACTTTCATATTAAAAGTACATGGAAAAATAACTCAAGGTCTGTGATCGGTCGGTTTCAGGAAAGGGCCATCTATTTTGGGACTCGTCATAAAAACTAATCAGTCTTAAGTTTCACAGCTTATAGTAACAACTACTGTAAAGTTAAGGGATTTGAGTAATTTTAGTCTTTTTCTATTGTTTCTATGCAAGGATTGCAGACTGAAACAACAAGCAGTTCACTACACAGGAGATGGGAGGGCAGGGAAGAATACTAGCACTCTACTCGACCTTTGAGAACACCTGAAATTTTTTTGCAGTTGAACCCAAAGTTGCATTTTTATTACCAAATAATGCTCAAGATTATGACCATATTAACAGGTCCCTGTTAAGATGTTTCACAGCATCAGAGAACAGCTGAGGTTGAGAGGCACCTCTAGAGGTTATCTTATCACATACAGCAGTTGGCCCAGGAACATGTCCAGACAGCATCTGAACGTCTCCAAGGATGGAGATATCACAGCCTCTCAGGGCCATCTCTTCAGTCAGTGCTTGATCACTCTCACAGTGTTAAAAAAAAAAAAAAAAGTTTCCTGATGTTCAGAGGGAACCCCCTGTGTTTCAGATTGTGCCCAGTTTCTTGCCCTCACATTAGGTAGCACTGAAAAGAGCCTGGCTTCATCTTCTTTATGTCCTCCATTCAGATAGTTGTACACAAACAGCAGAGATGTCCCTGAGGCTTCTCTTCACTGGACTAAAGCAGTACCAGTTCTCTCAGCTTGTCCTCATGTGAGAGCTACTCCAGACCTTGCAACATCTTGGGCCTCTGCTGGGTTCACTAGAGGAGCTCTGTTTGTTTTAATCAAGCAAGAATAGCCTGCTGCAGATACAGTGCAATCTCTATCTGCTCCTTGAGCCTTTTGACTTCTTTCAGAACTATTTCCATTGGGGTTTTTTTTGCAGATACAGCTGGAACAAATGGGACTAAAACTACATTATGAGATTACTTTAAAAGAATTTTTTCACTATGTTAATTGTTGTAGCAGTTGCTCTAAATACAGTTACAGTAAGAGTAAGAAATAGTACTATAACCTTGTTTATCTCTGAGTAAGAGGATATTTGTTATCATTACAAAAAGATTCATGTGGTATTGTGGATTGGGCAGTCACTGACTTGAGTGAATGTGTTAATCATTGGTTGCCAACTACCATAAAAATTGCTCACAAGGATCTTGAAATTGTGGCAGATTTTCTTCTTGAGGACACAAAACAGAGAGCAGTACATCACAGCAGTACTCTGTTGGGTTACAGAAGACCATCAGTATTTGTATTCATCCTGTCTCATGTAGATTATTTAAAGAAACGAGAATTAAAATATGAGAAATCAAGGCTTATATGACTCTACTCCTACAGGAACAGTGAGAAGAGTTTGAAGTCAAAGCTTTGTTCTGCATCTCAGTACTGATGATAACACGACAAAACTCACCAAAACTCTTGAAAATAAGTTTAATTGTATCCATTAGAAATATTATCCCCAATAGGTCCACCTTTCCACAAAGGTGGATTTTAAACAAAAAAAAATTCACATTTTTTTAGAATTAATAAACAGCTAAATAATGAATTTCAGTATTAGATTTAGATTCTGGTCAACTGAATAAGAAAGCAAATCAATATCAGGTAATCAGGAGGAATAAAAATTGTTTTTTCTACTGTCAGTTAATTTTTGGACTACTGATATGAGCATAGAACTTAACTTCTGAGTCATACTAAATGGACCAAATATATGAAATCAGCATGTGATCTTCAAGAGTTCCACAGAATCCAGCAGTATTTTAATGACTTTTGCACTGTATTCTAGCATAAGTCAAGCCAATCACCATACAAAAATAATAAATGCTGTTTACTTTAATTGGGCAAGCGTATCCTGTTTCCTGATACACAAAATAATTCAGTATTGTAACCAAGTCTTCTAATGCAATCCAAGGAAAAAAAAAGCGCTCACTTTATGGTTCACTCTCTCAATTTTGATTACCATCTCATAAGCTCACCAGAAGCAGGCTTGTACATGGACGTTTTTGCTTACTGTTTTTGCTTAGGATGCCATTTTACGGATCATGTAGTTCAGAATGCCGCCATTGTGGAAGTAAGTCAGCTCCACGTCAGTGTCAAATCTCATGATGGCATGAAAAGTTTTCCCAGTATCCAGCTATTGGGGTCAAAGAAAGTTATTCAAGCAGCAGAACCTTCCACATGTTACACGACATCATAGTAAAAGAAGGACTATCACAACAGTTTTGCCTTCTTAAGAAATTGCGATAGAAAGCTAAAGTGAACAGGCACTGGACATCAGTACTTATTTCCACACTAGACTAAGCCAGCTGCTTAATACAAAAGTGGTTTAAAACCATAATAAACACAGTACGGAGTTCCTGTGCATTGCATTTGCTGCCTCATTTAGATTTATGGTTGATATAATCCTAGAGGCACGAGAGCTGACCATCCTTATAAGTGGTTATACTAATTCTTGATGTTCTATGGATTCATTCATCTGGCTTAGGTACAACAGCAGTACTAATTTATCTTTCTGAGACCTAGTGTTTAGGAATCAGAAAAGCACAAAGAAAAGTGCATGAAGTCAATAAAACCACTGTATTTTACTGAAGAGTCCCCCTGTCAGGTACTTTCAGATGAATGCACAATGTTCATCTGTGACTGATAAGATGACCAACTCTTTAGCATCTATACTTTCTCCATTTCAGGGCAGCTAGAGACAAATGTAAACAACTGTTGTTAGCAACTAATCCAGGGAAACTACCTGTATTAAATGAACATGCAGTAGATTGTTTTGCCACCTGCAGTAAAAAAGCAGACTTTGATGCTATTGTTAGTTTATAGATATTCCAATCAAGAATAAACCAAATTTATGTTGTAGATACTAATATTTTTCAGAAAAAGGCATAGGTTTCAAGGCAAAGCTAGACAAAAAGCAATCTTTCAAATACAGGGCCTGAAGTTTAACTAGATTTTATGCTGGGTATGCTTTGACTTCACTTTGGATGCTGCAGTGTACAATACTGTCAGCTGACTTGTCAATTAATTATTTTAATTTTAAATTAATTTAAATAAATTAGTTTAATACAGTTTACTTTCTGTTGTGCTTCAAACATTAACTGAGACAGAAAAATGTAGACTGGACTTTGAAAGGCTGGTCCAAAATACAGGACTGCTTTGGGCATGCTGCTTTTATATACCATTCATAGCAAATCCCTATCAGAATTACTTTTTCCATCCCCTTCACCACCTCAAGTCTGCCTTCCTGAAGTGAAAGAAGCTTACTGCCACGTGAAAGCACATTGTTTGAAAAGACAGTTAATTTTGAACGAAATTACAGTGATTCAGAAGATTCAGCCCTTAGGTGTCTCATACCTTAATCTGAACATTCATCTGCGGTTTTAGTTTTTCAGGAATGATAATTGTGTAACGCTCCCG